CGGTTATAATTATTTCAAGAATAAAAATTTCTAATAATGACAAAAGAAGCTTAGATAATTTATACAAATTAAAACCTTGTTGCTATTATTATAAAAATAAATAAACAAAAGCTGTTTTTTTATCGCTTATGTAGAGTGATTTTTCTGCGAATACATGATCTATTAACTACAATAATTCATAAAAAAGTAAGATATATTAAAATAAAAAAAGAAAACAATGAATCACTGAGATTGTTTTAATTTTTTATTGAATTTTTACACAAAAGCGAGCATGTGCTGATGCAAAATTTACTTTATATGAAACGCGTGTTACTTAAAATGATCAGGGATTTATTTTTTAAATAAAACATTAAATTTACATTTTATGAATAGAAAATAAATTCTTAAGTTGTGTTTGATAATAAATTTTAAGATTTTTATATTTGTATAATTAAAAAAAGTTTTTAAAATACTATAAAATTTTATTTATATAATTTTTATATAAATTAAATAACTTATTTTTAAAGAGAATTCAAAATTTTTTATGATACTAAACGTTTCTTATTATTATTTTCGTATTTTTCAAAGTTTTAACATTAACACGACCTGGGGATATAAGTTTTACCAATGTCTCGTTACTTTAGCATATATAATGGATTCAAAACGTATCATTTTTCCTTTTATCAAATTTATCCCTTTGATGATTGCAAGTGCAGATCCAAAAGATTGTCATGGATCAGTTAAGCTATTGATGTATGAATGGATTTATGGGTCGTGATTGTGATCAATTTAGGTAAAGCAACACATCATCCCTAGAAAAATATACCTTTTGGCACTTGTGGTCATCAAATATTATCAAAAACTCTTGGTTTAATGAGGTACATCTGAGCTTGTCTTTTCTATCAAATTAATCTATAGGAGCTCCCAGCTGTGAATAAGTACTACATAACCCTAGGAGCTGTCGACCATATATAGGTCGTCACACACTTGTACTCCATTTTCCTTTCTTTCTTTTTAGAAAAATGGGAATAATGACCCTTTTCACAATAAAAGGTGTGCAATTGTAAATTCCAAATCGAATGTGGAATTGCTTCATATTTAATTTGCCTTAAGAAATTTGTGGTAAAATGTTGTTAATTACTGCTAATGATTACTCCATTGTCAATAAGCCCTTTGTAACACCCGTGGCCTGATCTGTCTCAGTTTAATGAACCCTAAGTTTACTTTCAGGCTTTATTGAAAATCTGTTTGTGAACATGCAGACCGAATCATTCGATTGAGTAGCAACACTCATTTTCTATCACAACGAGTAAACTTCACATTTGCAATTAATCCATAAAGGGATCCTTTTCTTCCAACTAGAGAAATCCTATTGTCTTCCTCACTTTTCAAACTTCAAAATATAATGTTCCAATGATTTGAGCACCCTCTTTCAATCAAAACCACATCCTTTCTGTTTTGCTAAAGAGTAGGCACTGATGACCCCAAAATGAGTGAGCCTCATTATTACCTATTTAGTAGTGCTATGTCTTTAATTGGAAGAAAAGATATAAAGAGTGCTCAAAGAACGTATACAGGTGCCCCCAACCCCCATCCCTAGAAAAAACCATCAATAACACATGCCATGGTATATATATGTGTGAAATTATTTTTTACATTATATAATTTGAGAAATCTAATTGTGAAGTCATGTAATGTAAAGTTAACAATTTATGCACTAAATTATAAATAAATCAAATATTCACAGAAATATAATTTTAATATTAACATTGTTTCATATTTTAAATGTTTAAAATTTAAAATCACAAATCACTTAATTATTTTTAAAAAATATATGAATTTATATTTTATCCTTATTACATTTATACTATTTTCATTCTCACTTAAAAGAACAGTCTTTTAACAGTCTTTTCATTTAATACATGGCATACACATATACTGCTCACGGTTTTAAGGTTTTTAACTTCTCACAGCAAGTAATCTGATCATATATACGAAGCCTTCAATCACGTGACAAGTGTGAACGATAAATTAAGGAATGTAATAAAAAAAAGATTAAAAATATACTAACATTACTTAAATATTCAAAAAATCGAAGTTATTCTTGAACATATTATATAATCTCGATATATTTTTATAATTAAATTTTTGTATGTCTTTCTATCACATCACCGTCTTATTCATCTTTTTTCTCTTCCCATTTCTTTAAAGCATAATAAAAAATATATACAAAACTATTATATAATTAGCATTTCTAATCTTAGAATTTACGTGACATAATACTTCCAAGATGAAGCTCTCCCTCTAGACCTTAGTCCTTTTGAAGTTTTGTTATCTTCATTTTCTTTTAGAAATTTTAAGTTTAAAAGCAAAGGCTCTAATGATTAATTTTTCTCATCATACGAATCAAGCTTCGAATCTTGCAAGGGTCAAATTAATGTGACTACGTGAGGACCCATATGCTTCCTTCACGTACAGTTGGTCAAAGCTATGTCTAATCCTGCCTTCTCAGTAACTATTTTGCATGGGAAGATATCAAGAGTGTAAATATTGAAGTACCAAAAGGTGAAAATGCAATTCAGCAAACATCGTAGAATAAAAAAAATATTTATATGGTTCATAAATATTAATATAAACCTATTTATTTTTACATCTGTTTTCTATCCATTTATTTCTCAATCATATCGTTTATTATATTTATAATAATAGTATTCACTTATGCATACATTATCTTCCCTGTGTTTTTCGTTTCTTTTTAATCTTTTTTTCATGTTATACCAAACCAATCCTGCACTTTTTCTTCTTATTTTGTATTATATGAATATACTTTAGTGAGCATAAATGACATTTTTTTCTTGTATTTATTATGGTTTTTATTCTCGTTCTTTTTATATCTCTCTCCTTCCATAAGTACATACAGCTCTCAAGAGTGTGAAACCACCTTTATCCACATTTACGTTAGGGGCTTCCTATCAAAGAAACCAAATTATGATAATTAGGTCGCTGTCGAGATCTGTATATATTGTTTCCCTATTTTGTTTCTTCCTTTAAATTTAATCACGTATGATTCTGTTCTGATTATGTTAATTATTTGAATTCCCTCTCGCATAACATAATTCTTATCTAAGAATTTAAGATATATATAGACTCACACACGCCATCTCGAGATCCTACCTTTCATACATCTCGATAAGAATCTAGTCTAGCAAAGACAAATAAAGCTTTTACCTCAAATGAAAAATAAGGGAAAAAAAAAAAGGAGTTACATTAAGAAAGCAAAAAAGAAATATAAAGTCAAATTTAATAAGATGGAGTACTAGTCAATGGTGAGGGGTAAAAATATTATAACAAAGTAGTAAAATAGTTACACTGCTAAAAGTTGATACTTAAGCTGTTGCAGAACGTGTTTTCTAGCTTGCAAGAAATCACACAAATTAAACACAGGCATAGAGTGAGCATTAAATAAACAAAAGGGTGAACGCAAATGGGTGTCCATTACAACAGTATTGATCAATTTTGCTTCCTTTATTTGGTAACAGAAAAGGTTTGTTTAAGTGGGTTGTTAGAATGGGAGATGAGATTAAGACAAAAGGTGATTGCAGTTTGCAGGAAGAGAGAGAAGTGAGGCTGAAAAAGAACCAATAATGCTAACAGAGGATAGCAGACACAGTGGGATGCTTTTTTGATACTTTGGGGAATAAAATACTGTCTCTCTACGAGGATTGGCGTGAAGAGAGAGACCCCAAGCCGGCTATCTAATATTGGACCTGTGCAATTGTGCATAATCTATGTCTATATATACTAGCTATATACAAATGAGTCAAAAAAATGTAAAATATGATCTACCACTTAGCTTTTTAAAAGAAAATAAAAATGAAAATCTTTCATCACACTGGCTTGGCTCTTTCCCCTTTAGTAACTTTTTTTGAATTTCTCTTCCCTGTCTATTCAAAAGATGATGTGGAAAAGGGTGGGAATTAGCTCTGTGAGTCCGAGTAAAAATTTTGAATTGTGGGTCCACGTTAATGTAATATCTAATTTCCTATGCTAATTCATTTGTTTACAATTAACTAGCAGAAAAGAACACAACAATGTCATTTAATCCCCAGAATTATAGTTTGTCTGGCCCTTTGTACTATGATAATATTGATTAACAAGATAAAAAAAAATGCATGCACATTATTGTTGCAGCTAGTAGATAGATGAATAGCCGCATATGACCGCAATCTTCAGCTCTTCATACACATGTTCATAAACGCATGATGCTCTTCTCACATACATAAGCTTACATCGCCTTCACCAAGTTTCTAAATTAGTAGTTAAGTATAAACAAGTTACAGCTTAAAATTATTCAATAGTAAGTTAATCGAACTAACTTAACTCATATGTATGTAATTATAAATATATATACGTAAACTGTATTATATTATTATTATTATTATTATTATGTGCATGAAGCAGCTCAAATTATACAAGTATATTTTAAAAGGAAGAAAACGACTACTAATATAAGTAACTTGTTTCTGATTAACACAACAAATAAACGTCACGTATCAGAGACCAGAAAACAAGTAATGGCAGGAACACACGTTTAAACTAGGGAGTGAGAGAGAGAGAGAGAGAGAGAGTGGAGAAGGCGGTGAAGTAGAAATAAAAAAGGTGCCCCTTTAAAGTTTAAACTAAAACCAAAAGAGAATTAAAGAAAAAGAAAAGAATAAAAATGATGAGTGACGAGAAGTATAAAGAAGGTTGTGAGGCTTAGTTTCAGGTATTATTTCTAAAGCCAAACGACTCACTGGAGCTTTCTCTCTCTCTCACTCACTCACTTAGTTCCACGTTCCTCTGATCGAAAGAGGGGAGCAAAACAGGCTTCCAAAGTCACCTGAGAACAGAAAGAAAGAGGGAGGGGTGTTCGGAAAGAAAGAGAAGTATAAGAAGAGAAAGAAGAAGAGAGTGGTTGTGAATTAGAAAAGGTTTGAAAACAAAGGGGTGGTGGAGAGGGGGGTGGTGTTGACCAAGTTATGCGCTCAGGTGTTTGTGCATTACAGCAGACCCTCACAGCTGAGGCTGCTTCAGTGTTGAAGCACTCTCTGGGGTTGGCTCGTAGGAGGGGCCATGCACAGGTCACTCCTTTGCATGTGGCTGCAACTTTGCTCAGCCTAAGAGCCAGTTCTTTGAGAAGGGCTTGTTTCAAATCTCAGCCTCACCAAACTTCACATCCTCTTCAATGCAGAGCTCTTGAACTGTGTTTCAATGTGGCTCTCAATAGACTCCCAACAACACCTTCTCCTTTGATCCACACTCAGCCTTCTCTTTCCAACGCTCTCATTGCTGCACTCAAAAGAGCACAGGCTCATCAGAGAAGAGGATGCATAGAGCAACAGCAACAACAGCCTCTTCTTACTGTCAAAGTTGACTTGGAACAGCTCATCATATCCATTCTTGATGACCCTAGTGTTAGCAGGGTTATGAGAGAGGCTGGATTCTCTAGCACTGCTGTTAAGAACAATATAGAGGACTCTTCAGCTCCTTTTCAGTGTTACAACAGTTCTGGTGGTGTATTTTCTTCTCCTTGTTCACCTTCTTCTAGCGAGAACCATAGGGAAACAACCATCAACCGTACCAGTTTCAGGCACACTCATCATCATTTCTTAGCTGCTTATACTTCTGAGTTCAACCCTGCAGTTCTCTTTTCTCCACCAAAGAATGCTCCTTTGTGTCCCATCATTGATGCAGCCTCTTCCAACAAGGAAGATGTCAGGCTTGTTCTTGATATCCTCTTGAGGAAGAAGAAGAAGAACACTGTGATAGTTGGTGACTCGGTGTCATTAACTGAAGGCCTTGTGGTAGAGCTAATAGGAAGGTTAGAAAGATCAGAAGTGCCTGATGAGTTAAAGTCAACCCGTTTTATCAAATTCCAAGTTTCGCCTGTTTCTTTGAGGTACATGAAAAGAGAAGAAGTTGAAGTGAAACTCTTGGAACTGAAAAGGAAAGTAGATTTCATTGCATCAGGAGGAGGGGGTGGCATTTTTTATATCGGAGACCTTAAATGGACAGTGGAGGAGGCAACTTTCAATGAAAAAGAAGGGCCCCCAGATGGAGAAGTTTCTGGTTACAATCCAGTTGATCATGTGGTTTCAGAAATTGGAAAGTTATTCTGTGACTGTGGAACCTCAAATTCTAAAGTGTGGCTCATGGCCACTGCTAATTATCAAACATATATGAGGTGTCAAATGAGGCAACCCCCTCTTGAGAAGCAATGGGCTCTTCAGGCTGTTCCTGTTCCATCAGGTGGACTTGGCTTAAGCCTTCATGCTTCCAGGTAATTAATCTCTCGGTTAATGATAATTAGTTTGATTTGATTCAATTTAAAAAATAATAGCGAATGACTACAAGTTAAGTAGAAGATGTCTTATTTTGTTTTATTTAGTGCAGAAAATTCTACATAATGACATAAAAATGAAACCAAGAATAAAAAATAAAAAAAGAAGAAGAAGGAAGACGTAAGTACATAGAAGTTGTCCAGCCATGATGTTTTATTGAAAGCTCAATTGTTTTACATTTTGTTGAGGAGTGCGTACGGTCACTGGCCTATGCCAGAACTCATTGTGAAAAGCATGGCTGGTTGGTAAGTTAGATGTGAAGCAGAGCCTTTCTGCCTCACTTTAGTTTTGTCAATATATGTGACCTCCTACTCGTTACGCATGCATATGATATTAAGTTGAAGAAAACGAAACTAGACTTTACTAAAAGGAAAAAAAACACGGAAGAGTATATATTTTGCAATATGCCTTATTTAAACCATGTGGGAATAATTAAGATCTACTATGATATTAAGTAATTTAGGTGATAAGAATGAAATAATACATAATCTAAAATCAACGGTGCTTATTTGTTTAATTTTGGATGTTAATTTTGTGGATTTTCTACACTCATTTTACAGTTTCCTTGATTCAAAGATGACCATCTACCAGAGCCCATCTCATATGCTGGAAACAAAGCCTTTGAGTAACAAGGAGCATCTGGATAAGCTCAATTGCTGTGAAGAATGTGCCCCAAATTATGAAAAAGAAGCCCAACTTCTCAAATCAGACCAGAAGAAAATGTTGCCTTTCTGGCTTAAGTCTCATACCACAGAAGACCATAAGAAGGTACCAAGTTATTAAGAGGAAAATTGAAAGCCAAGTTAGTTTTTCTGTTTATATGTTTATAATCCAACACCTGATGATTGTGCAATAGTTTTATCTTTTTTCTTGTTTTGGTATGTCCATGTACCTCTTCCTAATAGTTGAGATTTGAAAAATAGCAATGGCTTATGGTTTACGAAATAATTCAACATTTTCAGGATGAATTAACCCATTTGAAAATAAAATGGAATAGACTATGCCACAGTCTCCACCAAAGCAAACAGCCTCAGAACCAATGGAACTGGAACACCAGTAATAATTCATCAAGTTCTATATCCTTTGCCAACAATGCCACCTACAACTCCACCTCCAATCTTGTCCCTCGATTCAGGCGTCAACAATCATGCGCCATTGAGTTCAATTTCAGCGACAAATGGGAAGCAACAGAGCCAATCTTGGGTTCTCTTGTGAGCATGGAAGGTAAAGAAGTAAAGACTACTCTTGCTCTTGGAAATGGTGGTTCAGGTGAAACGGTGGGGAATATAACTGATAGAACACTGCAACGAGCTCATATTTGTAAACTGTTGCAGGAGAATGTGCCATGGCAGTTTGAGACTGTTCCTTCGGTGGCTGAGGCCTTGATTAATTCCAAATCAGCAAAGCAAAGTAACATTACTTGGTTATCTGTGCAAGGCAATGACATCATTGGCAAAAGAAGGTTGGCACTTGCAGTTGCAGAATCAGTTTTTGGCTCAACTGATGTGTTCCTTCACTTGGACATGCTTAAGAAAGAGACTTCAATAGCCCCATTTCCTGAAATGTTGGCGGGAGCAATGAAAACCCACCAAAAGCTTGTGGTGCTAATAGAAAATGTTGACTTTGCTGATGCCCAATTCAAGAAATTCCTATCAGATGGATTTGAAACAGGAAAGTTTGGAAATTTAAGTAGCATGGAAGAGAACTCAAGGCATGCAATATTCATGTTGACAAGTGGGGGATCCACTAGCATTGAGGAGCAGAATCAGGAATTGGTTATGAAGTTGTTGTGGCAAGTAAGTGAAACCAAGCCAAATTTAGAGACACCTTGCTTAGGCCACAAGCAAAAGGCTGAACTAGATTTGTTTTCCAACATCAAGAGGCCAAGAATTGAAGAGAATCAAGAGGCATTGTTGGTTTCTTCAAAGCAAAAGAAAGAGTTTTCAAGACAGTCAAGCTTCAACACCCTTGATCTGAATATGAAAGCTGATGAAGAGGGTGATGGGTTGGATAAAGCAGGGGAAAGTAGTCCCATTTCAAGTGATTTGACTAGAGAAACTATAGCTGATCCACTGAACCCAAATGGGTTTCTTGACTCAATTGAGAACCGGTTTGAGTTGAATACAAGTCCAGCTAGGGAGAGGGAGATGAAAGAGTTGTTTTTATCTAAGATTAAGGGGTCTTTTGAAGACGTTTATGGGAAGCCATATTTGATGAATTTAAGTGTAGATGAGAGGGTGATTGAGGATGTGTGTGTTGGGTGTGGTTCTTTTACTAACAGCATGTTTGAGAAATGGCTAAGAGACATTTTTCAAAGCAGCTTACAAACGGTTAACTTTGGAGGGAAGGAGGGTATACTTTTTAGACTTTCTTGGGGTGGTAAAGGACATAGAAAATCAGATAGTGGGTTCATTGGTTCTTCTCTGCCCAAGAGTATCCAAGTTAATTACTTCATAGAGTGAGTGGTATTGGGTATCCAGGGTTTTCTGTATAATTGTCCACAAGGTGTATAATGGGATAGTTTGTGTAATTGCTAATTTTCATAATAGCATCTGTTTGTTCTTCTTCCTTGAAATTATGTTTAATCATTTCTCACTCTTGCTTCCTACTTTGCTTTTTGTTTATAAAATTTTAAATTATTTTAAATAAAATTAGTGCTTTCTTACTTACCATTATTTATTTTATGTTTTAATTTGATTATTTAAATTTTCTTTTGTATAATTTATTCTTTTAACTTCATTTTTTGTTACAACATTTTCCTCACCGTTAATTTTGTCAAAGAACTTAACGAAAGTCACTCTACTGGAGTTAATCATATTTCCAGAAAATCAAAACGCAGTTTTCAATAAGAAAATTCATTTTTGCAACTTGTCCACGAAATTAATAAAAAAAACAATGTGAAGAGCAGAACAAATATCAATAAAACTCAACACTCTCTTTAATATTTCTTCAAACACTTTTGATATAGCAATTCAAGTGATTCTTTCTTTTAATTCTCCTCCTCCCCCTAAAAAAATTGTGCCGGTTATAGACCCCAACTATGAAAAAATGCCATATTGGATGCTAGTTTAATACCTATAGAGAGGGAATCAACATAGAAAAAGAAAAAGAAAATGAATCCGCAACTTTCTCATAAGTTTAATACCTACAGAAAATGAATCAACATAATTTCTATTTCATTACTTTGCACCAAATCTGCAACTTTCTCTTCATTTAAATAAACTACATGCACCATAAATAATAATCTAAAAAAAAAAAGAACTAAGCTCTAATCTAATATGACACGTCATATAATATGCCTCAGTTAAGTTAAGTAAACAAAAATTACTTAACTTATTGGCTACAACGAATAAAAAATATAAACCTAAATTAAAATTAAAATTACCAATTTATCTTTATTTTAATTAATTTTAAAGTAAAAATGTAATAAAATCCGATCTAGGTGTTTGATTTATTGATTTTTTTCTCTATGAACTTTTGTTATTTATTTTACTATAGTTTATTATAAATGTGTGTTTTATTTAGTCTATCCAAAAAAATATATTTTTCAATATTTAAAAATGATTATTTCTTCAAAAAATAATATAAACTGAACATATGCTAATTACTAAAAAAACAAAATTAAATAACTTATGTTTTTGGCATGATAAAATGTTTAACTTTTCAGTATAAAATATTTACATTGTCAACTAAAGAAAAAATTATTTTAAATTTGACTTTTAAATTAACTATTATAAAATTTAATAGTTTTTAAGTATATGAAAATGCATAATCGAAGGATAGTATAAAGAATACTTAGACTTTTAGTATATTTTAATTAAATTCTAATAAAAAAAAACTGATCATAACAATAATAAAAATTATCAAATTCAAGAAATTAAAAGAAAAAAAAAGAGAGAATTCCAATAAGAAAGGCTAAACTAGATTAAGTTTGCTGATGCTTCACTGCTCTTGAATTCTTGGGGTAGCTTCCAATCTTGCTCAATTTTAATCAAGTCAAGTCATTAATTAATTCTTGGTACTTAAGAAAGTTTGATAATACATTTTTTGCACTTTAATCCTAACATAATGTGAGAATAAAAAGTGTGCAATTATATGGTATAGCTGAATTCAATAAACATGAAAGTATATATGTGAATACCAAATGAGTAATTAGCATTTGTAAGTGTGTAATATAAGTTGGAATGAAAGCTATACTGGCTCTAAATCTACAAGTAAACAAATTTTTTCCGCTTTGAAATGAAAAGTGGACATAATATGATTTAATAAAATCACGCAGAGATCTTTGTTACCTTTTCGTAAGTTGTTTTGTATCTCCATTATCCTTCTGTTGTTTTTTTTCTCCATTTGTTGCAATCGAAGAACATTCATCATGATAATGTAGGGCTTCCATGCACAGATATATATATATATATATATATATATATATATATATATATATATATATAAGAAGTTACGCAACCCAACAGAAGAAAATGAAAATGATATAATAATAACAATTTAGAAATCCAACTCCAACTCCCTCCGCTACAAGACAATGTTGACGCTTTATGGTTCTAATTTATTTCTTCAAAACTGTATATCATTACTTTGACCTTAAAGGTTTGTATGATTGAAACCGCAGAAGTGCGTTCTTTTTTCTTCTTAGAACACCATCATGGATTTGATTTTATGCGTTAAAGATATGATCGTGAAATTTTATATTGTTTTAGAAAAAGCACTCGAGTGTCCTCCTGTTTTAATAATGTAAAGTTTCTCTATGATACGTAAATGATCATTGATGTTATCCTGTCATTATAATTGAATTTCAGCATTGCCTAAGTATATTCATAATAATGGACCACGGTGTGTAATAAATGTTGCATCAGACGAAATGAGACACGATTATGAAACTTGGTAGTAAATAAATAAATAATAAAATGATTAACTAATTTGAACAAAGATATATCATCATATTTTACATCGTCGCGCATACAAGGAGTTTGATTGCAACTATAATATATAAAAATTCAAATTCGATCGCCTCTAAAGAGATGTAGATAGTTGAACTTTAATGGTGTTGCTCAATATTAAGATATTGAGTTCCTTTTAACTAAATTAGTATAGGAATAATTGAAGATTATATACTACCTACTGATTGCTGCTTCAAAGTCGATTTTAAATCAAGAAATGGCTCTCTTTTGTAACACAACCTTTATTTATAGGCACTCACTAAATAAAGGTGGACTTTAGGTTATTTAGTGTAACACCCACATAAATTTTATCCTAAAATAAAGAATGTACTAACATTCTTCTAAGTTTTGTTTACATACTCTGGTCTGGGTCTGATCTTCTTGCCAATAAACCTTCCACTATGTGGAAATTAAATAAACAAGGAATAGGGTTAGTGTTTTTGAGTTTCTCCAAAAAGGTTTGTCCCCGATTAAGGTTTCCTTTTGAGGAACTCTAGTTTAGTTCTTTCATGATGATGGGAGTACCCTCATTGTTTTGGGTCCCTCGCTCTAGTTAGTGCTTTAAAATAAAAGCTATCAAATGTCTTCAGTTGAAATAAAAGTTCACAATGATGCTGTTAATTAAGCTTTTCAAAAGAATACATGTTAAAATACACCAAAAGGTATTAGCGCAATAAGCATGAAATCATTAAGTACGATTAGAGAGTTGGTATACTTTATTTTGATTTTGTAAATAATGTAGAGAAAGTCTGGTTCCCCCACTCCACCCCCAAAAAAAAATATGATTATGTGTTTTGTGTTTTGGTGTGAAAAGCTGTTCGCAAATCACTGGGTAGCAGAGATAATGATGTTTGTGTAATTTCTCTTTTAACGAAGCTTTTATTGACATTAGTATTATTGTATGATGTTTCAGCATTTGATAAAGGACAAAAATCAATCTCTACTTTACTAGTTAGTTAGTTGACTAATAGTATTTTGAGATTCGTATTTAAGTGATTGTAAAAATTTGTTTACTTTATCATTATTGATTAATTTTTTTTAATTAGACATAAATTTACAAATTTTCTAACATTTTTTGAAACACATACTAATACTATATAATATGGAGTAGATCACCTTGTACCCCTCTTTTTTACATTCGTTCAAAAAGAGTAAAATAATAAAAAAAGATTTTACTTCTCAATTGTAAACATAATAAGCATGAGTAAAGGGAGAAATCAGTGGAAGGCATAGCAAGTTGGACAGTGAAACTTCCATATTGCACAAGAAAGGATTGTTCTTATTTATTTTCTCATATGAGTCTGCTTTTTTTGTTTTGGGGAATAATTAGCTTTAAGAAATAGGATAAATTGGCCCAACCCATCATAGTGTCTTCTCCCAAAATCACCCTAAGTTTGAATCCTGAATCCAAAAGTCCATAATTTCTCTGATGGATCCCCTCATATCTGTTGTTTAAGTGACCATTATCCGAACCCCAAAACAAAACCATTTAGTTTATATTTGGGCTTTATCCACTCAGATAACGGGCCAACACCAGTATGGGCTTATTATTAACAGATCAGTCAAAGCCCTATGAAAAAAGATATAAAAAAAGCCACCAACCACAGGTGCTGTCATGAGCCATCACCACCAACCAAAATTAAGCAACTTTCATTTCTTTGATCTCATGTGGATCATAGGTTGGTTCACCCACTACCTGGGTCCCACCCACCCACCAACCCAAACCCACTCTCTTTTTCTATTGCATCTTTTAATCCCACCGTCTCACTGCGCCTCCAACATCGTTAGGAGAACCTCACGGACCCAATGGCACCGCAATCGGAATCGGAGGTTCCCCCAAATTTCTGGGGCAACATGCCGGAAGAAGAGTACTACACCTCCCAAGGAGTGAAGAACTCCAAATCATACTTCGAAACCCCAAACGGAAAAATCTTCACACAGAGCTTCCTCCCTCTATACGTCGAACCCGACCAAGTCAAAGCCACCGTTTTTATGACCCACGGCTACGGTTCCGACACCGGCTGGCTCTTCCAAAAAATCTGCATCAATTTCGCCACGTGGGGCTACGCTGTCTTCGCGGCGGACCTCCTCGGACACGGTCGCTCCGACGGTCTCCGCTGCTACCTCGGCGACATGGACAAGATCGCTTCAACCTCGCTATCTTTCTTCGTCCATGTCCGTAACAGCGACCCCTTCAAGAACCTTCCAGCGTTTCTGTTCGGCGAGTCAATGGGGGGTTTAGCCACTTTGCTGATGTACTTCAAATCAGAACCGGACACGTGGACGGGCCTGATATTCTCGGCGCCGTTGTTCGTGATCCCCGAGGACATGAAACCCAGCAAAGTGCATTTGTTCATGTACGGTCTTTTGTTCGGTTTGGCTGACACGTGGGCTGCAATGCCCGATAACAAGATGGTGGGAAAGGCCATTAGGGATCCAGAGAAGTTGAAGATCATAGCCTCTAATCCCAGGAGGTATACGGGCCCACCCAGGGTGGGGACCATGAGGGAGCTTCTTAGGGTGACCCAGTATGTACAGGATAATTTCTCTAAGGTAACGGCGCCGTTTATCACTGCTCACGGTACGGCTGACGGCGTTACCTGCCCTTCCTCCTCCAAGCTCTTGTATGAGAAGGCTTCTAGTGATGACAAGACCTTGAAGCTTTACGATGGAATGTACCATTCCTTGATTCAAGGGGAGCCTGACGAGTCCGCTAACCTTGTGCTTGGGGACATGAGAGAATGGATTGATGAGAGGGTTCGAAGGTATGGACCTATTAACAATTCCCAATAAATAAATTGTACTATTTTTCGTCCAACTTTTTAGTTATGCGTTGATCATTAAAGATTAATGAAATTGTTATTATATGAACGGTATCCCCTATGGAACATTATGATATTCACGCCTTAATATAATGTTTATACATTGTGTGCAAATCATGAGTAACACCTATGGAATTTAGTGAACCCAGTTGTCGTTTTCTCTTACCTAGTAACCGCGATGACTAAATTTTGTGTTCCGTTGTACCCACGAAAGTACTTACTGTTCAGTCAACGATTGACGTCTGGTGACTCTATATATCGTCGTCGCACACATTATTTAATTTATAATGCTTGATATTAGTACTATATATCGTTACAAATTCGACGTTATTAAGACTTCTCGAAACCGTAAGTTACGAATCGACTTCAGGAAGCAATCAAGCTGAAACCAGTTTGATCTACGTTAGGAAAAGGATAGAGAGAAAAGTAACTTGGTTTTATTTTGGCTTATTATGTGGCTGCCAGACCATTTGATATTCTCTTTGGAGCTAGTAGGCATAGAATAGGAGTTTGAGAGACACTTTCTATATACTTGGGTATGTTTTTATGACGCATAAGATATGAAAACCATTATATTCTCTTCAAAACCACACTGACGATGATGACAGCCTTTTTCTAAAAATAGCAATATAGCATTAGCATGTTTCGAAATCTTAGCAGTGGCGATGGAAATGACACTAACATCAAAAGGCCATTTATTAATGCAAAAAACGATGGCGAGGACGGATGTAAAACCCAACCAAAAGAAAAAATGACCGCAATACGAGAATCGGATAGTCATATAAACATGCGGCCCAACACAAGACAGCGGTCAGAATAATGGGGGGAAAACGAAAAAGCTTTCATTACTTCATATAGTTAGCGTTTAACACGCATCTACACAAAGACCTTCATTCCAAATAAGAAAAATAACTAAAAAGCTTTCTCTTCGAGGTTCTCTCATTTACGTCTTTTGCAAATCTTACTCGTAATAGGAAAAACTGATATAGGGCCTAGGTTAGAGATGCTGAAAAATGCGAGCAAATGGGTACACTTACAGGTCAGTCAGGTCAAGGAAAGGCTGGTATACAGAAAGAAAGACTAATTCAATTACTAATCTAAATTCTGGTATGTACTTTGGAGGCATATACAAAAGGATGGCTAGCCGTAACATTTCCTCACCCAATGAGCAAACAACTTAATAGCGTTAAACCAAGCTAAAGAACTTACACTCAATTGGGAGATGTTCTGTGCGAAGAAGAATCCTCTGGAACACATACAGACGAGATTGATAATTCTATAGCAGTTTCAAGATTGAGCAAAGGTTTTAGTCTTCTATGAACCTCGCCACTAAGAAAATTGATCTCTTCCACAACCATTAAAAAAGCAGACTTGCAAGAACCCTCATCTCTGAACGCCAATGTCCATCTTCCATCTACCAAAGTTTTTGTTTTCATTTTCCCATGGTCATTGAATTTGACTGGATCTAGAAAGGGTATAGAGGATGAGCGAATCCGCAAATGTAACCATGTTACATGTTCATCATCAATCCTGGGCTAAACAATGAAGATAAGAATGACCGAAAGATTATTATATAATCAGGGTTAAAATATCAAACAGAACTTTTCAGAATACATCACATTTCTTGGTTTCATATCTTAACAAAATAAATGGAGAAAATTATAAAAATAAATAAATTATTAGAAAAACATTTCCTGTTTAAAGAAATAGCCACCCGTGTAGGTGATTCAGTCAGTCAACAATTATTCATTAACTGAGGGATTATTTATTCCTAAGCTGTAAATAAATTTTCCAAGAAATTTAGTTTTCTATTTTTTTCCAAATGATTTTGCACCATAATTGTCAATTAACCAAATGACTTGACTCAAGCTTAAGATGCAAAGGAGAAGAGAAATATACATACATTGCACCCAGCCAAAGAACCAACAACCTGAATGACTCCATAGGACTTCTTCAGTGGCAATGCTTCTGCAAGAACAAGCCACCCAGATATTCCTGAAGAGATTGCTAGAAAACAAAAGTTGTGCTCTTTTCCCCTCTCGAAAGCAATTCTACAGGGAACAGCATTAACTACAAATGGCAAATAAGAGAATTTAAACAATAATTAGTCAATTGCAAACAAAGGATAATAGCAATTAGCTTTCCTCTGTTGGCCAGAAAGGAATTACATATAACAACATAGAACCTAACAGAAGAATATCACTATATAACAAACAAGAACCACCAAGGGAAAAGGTTAAAAGAACGACAACATAAAGACTCCTAAATTTTCTTCAAATTTCAACTAAATGAATTTGCTCATTCATTGCCTGCTGTCAAATTATTGCAGGAAATTTCTTATTCTCATATAGCTCATTTGATCATACACTATGACAAACATAATCAGTTCCTGCATTCACTGAACCACTATAGATTGCCACATACTTTGGGAATACAGATAAGAGAAAAAGCATTTCAAGGATGACCAATGTAAATTATATAATGTTCAAAAATGGCCACTCATACAAAAGTCTAGGCCAGTTTCTTTCTTGTCAGTCTTCAGTTTTTATCACTTGGTATAAAATTGTATTTATTACTATTTGATTAGTTTGACCATTTTAAGTGGAGCTATTTATTTTGTGTTGGGTTCTCAGACTAAGCGGTGCAGTTGAGATTACCATTAAGAGATTTTTTTTGCACTCTCCCTTTTCCTTTCTACCCCCCCCCCCCTCTTAGTGTCTCCTTCCTTCTTTTTACTCATCTATCCGTCCAAGAGAAAAGTGAAAACCTCAGATAAAACCAGTGGCAAGAATACAAGAAGCTGAAGTTCAGATCACTAACCAAGGCTGACTTCAGTGCCTGCCTTTGGGCTTGATACAACTAGCCCAGAAGTCAGGGCACGAGAATTAGCAGGTAGATCACCAGGAGGGTAAATTGGAGGTTGCTCACATAAAGCTCTACCGAGAGTGAACATTTGAATTTGGTGTAACAGTACAAATACCTATATGGGAAAAATAAACATAAAGCTGAATCTTAAGGTACATATTACTGCACAATCTATGAAGAACCTGAATTTAGAATCCCAATTCACAGTTTTTATGGTATACTCCACTTTTAATTGAGAAACCCAATTGAGAAAAAAAAAAGTGTTGGAGGGGGAATAGGCACAGACCTTTACCAACTCATGCATTCTTTTTCCAGCAGCAAAAGATGATTCCTTTGGAATATCATCTGTAGTAACAACAAAGATCACTTAAAGGGATTCTTATTCTTCCCTCCATAGGAAAAATGAATGTTGAAACAGGTACAAGCTTACCTTCTGAAGAAAACTTGTGTGGTAGAAAAAGCATGTAATTTGGTTCTTTTTGAGGAGATGACGATTCCATTGCTAGAGATAGAAAAATTTTCTAGTTCAAGCACAAAAGTAAACCACTCCAACACCAACAATCAAGCAGAACAGTATATATGATACAAAAATCACCTCTTTTGCACTTTCTCCACTCATCACAGAGAACAGAAATAAGGAAGTCAGGCCAGAAGCCTCTAACCTCCTCAGCAAGAGCAGAAGCATAATTCTTGTATGAAACCTGTATTAAAAATGAAAATTGATATAATCGTATTAGGAGGGGTAAATAGTAAAGATGATACTAGTGTTAAATCACCGCTTTTCCATTCGTGGTACATATATCATGGTTAGAAACGTAACAACTCATGAACAAGACATGCTTAATCAAAAAGTACAATCCTTTAAACCACACATTTCCTATCTCTACAAAGACAATAACTAGAAGTGTTACAGGAGTTTTAAACATTTTCCTATTTGGTGTTTCAATTTTGTATTCTCTTCAGCATCAACTGTCCATTCCTTCATTTTGACCTAAAGATAACTGTCTAATGAAGTTTGGCAAATACTAAATGGTTAAGGAATTAAAAGAGGAAATTCTTTAAAAAAAAGTGTTATTAATGCATACCTACTGTGTTCCAAAGCTTTTCTAACGTGATTTTCAATTAAAAAAAATCTATTTTTTTATTCCTTAACCAATGCCTATAGAGCACTGGTTAGCAAGACTCATAAAATATTAAAATTCCATGACAAAACTAGCAAAGGATGTTAGATTTTTGTGCAAGTATCAGAATCTACTCCCTAATTCTCAGAAAGCAGTTCAAACACGTGCACTTTGCAAATGTATCAAGTTCTTGAGGGCATTGCTAGAAAAGCCAAACATGATCTTACTTTCAATAATTCAAGATGATGGCCATTAAATTCTGACTCACTGTAAGGGAGTAACTGGCGCAAAAGCCAACCACCATCCCATAGTGCCTCTGCAGATAAATTAGAGCGGCAACAGAGACTCACTAAAGCATCAATCACCTGTAAAACAGACCAAATACAATTACTAAACTAGAGCATAACTAAGATTATGTTATAAAAAAAAGAAGAAAAACAAGTAATAGCTAATATGCATTTAGAGAATAGTAATTTTTAACAATACATGGAGCATCCAAAATGGATTTAAGTACTAATAAAAATAAGAAAAGGGAAATGATGGCTATAAAGCACAATCATTGAGTATTCTAAGGTTACAGTTCCATGACTTCAAATGAAAAGATGAACCTACCAAATGGAGTCAGGAACTTTCACATGGAATAGAGAAACTATTATAAAACAAACACAGTATATTAGCAAGACACCACTAGATATAAACATTTACCTGAAATCTATGTTCATGAGAGTTTATTCCCACATCAGAAGGCTGAAAAGATACTTCATACTGGTCCTGGAAAACTTGGTAAATGTAAGGAAGCCAACAATCAAGAAATGGAGATTCTAATGTGGAGATTTATTGATAGTGAAAATTAAAATAAATCAGTGACTGCTGAAGAACAGCAAGAAGAGCAAACCTTTATCTTTTTATGATAGATATCAATATCACTACCAATGCCATCCCTACTGAAGCTACTTTTGGAAGAAAAAAGCTGCTCTTCACCTGAACCCTCTCCAACTAAAGCTTGCTGCACAAATATGCAATGTCAATCAAATGTAATGTCAACAATGGGTCAAATTCATCAAAAATGAAGTGAAGTGCTGAGTTGGGGGTTGTTGTGCCCTTAAGAAACAATTATCCTCCTTCAACATGCACTGTATAGACTTTAGAATAAAACATCACAAAAAGGGTCATATGAACCCAATTCAAATGAACTCATCAAGTCAGCATTTACATCAATTCACTCACAAGTCAGCCCTCAAACAACTAAAGGCAGCCTGGGCCACTCATCCTTTCATCTCATTACCTTAACTGTCTAAGACATGATTGTGATTTCACTACTTAGCTCGCATGCCACACACACTATATATCCCTTTAAATAACAATCTGATATGCCCATAATGTTGTGAAGGGTGCATGTTGGGTTTGTGGATCAGGTTCAACTAGATGGTTTATGCCCAATGGCTTAAATAGGAAAGGGCTAACGTCTCATACAGTGTGTTATATGTTGAGAATTGTATCTTTTCTAATAGCTTAAGCTTTTGACATAGTGATAAGCATTCTTGGTCATATCATTAGGTATCAGAGCCAGCACAAGTTCAGATCTCAAGTTCGACATGTTTTTCATTATCTCAAGGTTTATAGGACAACCTTCGCTAAGAGAAAGGGAATGAGATATCCATAGGCTTGTGAGGGGTGCATGTTGAGTTTATTGATCAGGTTCAACTGTTCACCCTAGTGGCCCAAGCCCAATGGCTTAAATAGGAAAGGGCCAACATCTGGTATAGGATGTTATTCAAGAGTTTCACCTTTCCTAACCACTTAAGCTTTTTGCCTAATGGTAAGGACTCCTGGTCATATCAAAAACTCATCCACACCTTGAACACTCAATACACACCAACAATAATTCAAGCATCCTGTCTATACACATAAACAAAGCATCTCATATTTACAGAAAGACAACCAATGGCAAAATCTCTCCTCCTTCCTAAATTTTCTACCACGAGCTGGCCCACTTTCTCGACCAAGTAAACAACTTGAATACATTGACTAACTTCAACATAATCAATAGGTTCCCCTTAGAAACATGTATTAAAATGACTAGGTTTAGTACATCGTGTAAATATAGTGATTAGGAAAATAGTATCTCTGTATGTATTACATTTAACATGTAAATATCAGCTTGGGGTTAGTTAAGACACAAGATCTTTAACATGGTATTTAGAGACTTGGTGGACCCATCGTTCTCTGATGAAAACTTTTACAGTTGGCCATGTTCCAACTCTGTTCACTGCCAAATCTGCCATGATCCCTTTTAAATGTCCATTTTCTCTCCCCACCACACTTTCCTATATGGCAATCTAGATGAGGAACTCTACATGGAGCAAGCACTAGGATATGGTGCTAAGGGAAAGTCTTCTAGCCTAAAATTTTTCTACATAACACAAGTCTTTGTATGACCTCAAATATACTCTTTGAGAGGTTTGGTAATTTAGTACTGTCATTCAATAATATGAGATATCCTTTGCAATGAAATGTGAAATGGACCACTGTGTTTTCTGCCACTGTTGAAGTAGCTAAGCGTGAAAGAATATGGCAAAACAATTTAGACACATGTTTCTCTTCCCTCTAGACAAAACTCAGTCCCAAAACAATTTACCATATAGACAAAAGGAAGATGTGCAAAAGACAACAATCAAATGTTCATATAATAAGAAAATTAAAAATGGAAGAAAATGGCATACCAATAATAGTTTCTTGTGTTGTTTGCGTTGTGGAAGAATTCCAAGCCCATCTAGCATTGATTCATCAAGTTCTGCAGGACTAGATATATTAAGTAAACAGAAACAATGCAACAGTAAAGCAAACAAATATCAATGATACAACCTTTAGTTTGCAACAGAGTTGAAAGCACACTCAAAGAACCCAACACTTGGGTATCATTTCCTTTTGTTACATATGCAAGCAAAACCTCCCTGCATCGATCATACATCATTAGGAAAAAAAGACATCCAGTTAAACAAAGTTTAAAACCCTATGAAAGTATAATTATAAGACATCAAATAAAGCCCATAAAAATACCTAAGTTTCCAAGAAAAAATATTTTATTGAAACATGTTTCAATTCTAAAGGAACATCAAAAGGTTGTAGTTGTACACAAGAAGCCAAGAAGGATTATATGTTCTTCCATTTTTCTTTTATAGAAAACACTGTATTCCATATTTCAGTTGGATAACTGAGTATTATCAAGATAATTGAATAATATAACCAATAATATTTCCCAGTCTAGCCACAAACAGAAATACAAAAAGAGAATTGTCGTATCTAACATAAAAATAGTAACTACAATAAATTTTGCAGCCAAAAGACGTGAATTTTACCTTAAAGATAAATTTGAACTGCTACAATCATTTTGCAGAAGAACACCATCTGAATGGAAACCTGAAGAACTAAATGAATAAGGAACATTAACCATTGAGTGTCTTGTATCACAATTGGTAAGATTATCATTATCTGACACTTGGTATTCAGATGCAAAACCATCATCAAATGTATAGCCATTGACTTTACCCCCAGAACTATTTGTAAAGGCCTCTAAGGGATAAAAAAGTGCAGCAGCTATGGTATTTGCCAAATCTTTGATTTTGACTATCCTCAGGATGCAACAAAGTAAGTACAGTGAAGTAACAACGCCACTTTGCATGTCCTGGATTAATGTACTAACAAACATTAATAAGGACAAGTTGCATAATAAGAATCAAAATCTGTCCAAGAAACCTTTTTTTCAAAGATCATTGAACAAAGACAAAAGTGAACTGACAAGGCCATAAAGTGAAGTTTCATACATTATCAGCCACAATCCTCAGGGAAGGAAGAAGTAATGGAAATATCAAAATCACCAGAATACTGTCTGTAATTAGCCTCCCAACGTCAGGAATTCCAGCAGAGACAACATCATTAAAGTAGTACAGATTATCCTCAATTTCATCTACAGCAGCAATAATTGTAGAGATTGAATCTGGGACCGGCTTTCTGTCTCAGTATTCAGTAACCACAATTGCTTTATCAGGAAAATGGAATCTTTAAAAAATACACACAAAAAAAAGAAAAGATGCTTACATTAGCATATCAGAAAGCAGTTTATTTAAATCCAGGCTCTGCTTCCTAAAAAATGAAACCAGGTTTGAAAAGTAATCTTTGTGAGGTGTGCTGGTTATGTATCTATTAACAGAGTCATCTCCAACTGAAATTGTCCAACAAATGTATTAGAAAATTATAATTTTTGTCATCATAATTGATCTATGGAAAGAAATGAGATGGAGGAAATATTAAAGAAGGGCTTATGGAAAACAATAAAATCTCACCATGATATACATTAAGGGTCACAGCTCGTACTGCAGTGCGAATCATGTTCTCCTCATGAAAGGCAAAGCGTATGGCCTCAACATACAGTGGAAAAGAAACTACTTCATCCTAAACACATAGCAAGATACAGTGAACAGATTTGGATTTTGGATATCTCAAAAACTAAGGCAGAATCACCTCCTCCACAACCGAAAGACAAAAAATTCACTATAATTAAAAGAATTAATAGACACAAATTATTGACTAAGAATATGTGGAAAAAAAAATAATGATTTCACAAGATTTGACTGATACAGACTAACAATTTTCCAACAGGCTTCTCTGTCAAAGTCATCCACTAGGAAAACATCTAAAACAAGTTTTTATTGTATTTCTACCTGTGATTTTCTCCTCCTTCCTTTCTTATCTTTTTCTTAACCACGAAATTTCAATAAAGTCTGCTCAAAGCACAAAAAATAGTTTCATTTATCCACCTTATAAAGTCAAGACTCAAGAGCACACAACTAGAAAAACCCCACTCAACAATTACACTGTCTCCTTTCGACCTTTACAACCCCAATGCTAGGAGTACGATAATAACTAATAGTTAAGAATCCAACCTTTTAAGTCTACATTGACAGCTATAATTCAAATCATCAGAATAAGAAAAAGACTCTGAGAGCATCAAACTTACACCATGAGTCTTCACAAGCAGTGAAACTGTATTCTTGTTCAATTTTCCACTTATTGCTCTTCAAAAACCAAAAGGACATATAAAAGAGAACTGATTAGCAATATTATACAAAGGAGAGGGGAAGAGGGAAGCGAACAAAAAAAATACTGGCCCCAGAAAACAGATTATATGCAATACAATCATCAACCACCAATACCATTCACCAGTTCAATAAGTAAAATAAGTTATGGGTTAAAACGAACCTTAAAAAGGATATGTAGTAAGATAATAGCTCTTCATTTTGAAAGTCAAACGAATAAGTTATCAGATAGTTTAGATGTTCATTACTAAACATATAGTCTGCAAAAATTTCAGCAAAGATTGTTAATGCACCAACATTACACAACTCACTGAGAAACTAAAGAAAGTCAGAAATCCAAACGATATTCAACCTACATATAGCGTGTTCACTTTTCAGGTTCTGGACCATTATGCTCACTGTTTGCAGCAACTGAAGTGGGACGCTTAGAGTCCTGCTAAGTTTTAGAACACGTACAAACTCACCCATGACTTGCTTTTCCATGAAGAATCTGCCACAAGCTAGAACACAATAAAATTCCAACACAACAACAAATATACCCAAAATGAACATAAGCACTAAGGAGTCTCACTCAAAGAAGCTTGGGTCATGTTGATCACCATATGTTATCAACTCCGCAATTGATCTCAGTGCCTCAACAACAAAATCCTTCCACATATAACACAATTGAGAGAACCGTGAATACAAATCAAAGAAAGTTGAAAGCTAGGGCGAGTTAATTATATTCTTACCTTATTAACCTCGTTAATAATTTGAACTTTTGTCAATTGATCAGTTAAGTAACTGAAAACAGTAACACAGCAAGACAATAATCAATTATTCATGAAATGAATTTCTCTCAACTAAATGTGACCTAAGGTTGTCGAAGATATCTACAGAGCACAGTTCAGAGCATTATTTAGCCAACATTCTTGAAGTTTCGGAATGAGCAATTGATCATTTCGGTGACTTTGAATGAAATGAAGTGTGATGAAAAGAGTGAGTGACCTGAGTTGATCCAAGGAGAAACGATCTCTGGGTCTCCAGAACGAATACCACATGATTGAAGAATCAGACCTCGAAACTGGGCTTAATTGAATTCATCATCCATCAGAATAGAAACTGCTCGATCCTTCGAGCAGCTTCAGGGGAAGAGAGTGACCGCGGTTTTGTGTGATCACTGATCAGATAGAGACTAGGGTTCTTGAGTTGCCTAAAACACTTGGTTTTGGATTTCGGAAGCAACTACAGACGATGACAATGAACAAAAATCATGATCGAATTTGAAGAAAATATTCAAATACATTTGATAAGGATTTTTTTTCCTGGCAGCAATTCTTTAAAATATTTTAATTAGAGTTCAATTTTTAAAATATTACAGCACTCTTATACTTTTAATTATTATTCCATACTTTCTGATTTATGAAATATTTGTAAATCTTAGGATCTAGGTTTTTAAAATATGTTTAATGATTTAAAATTTATATAATTTTTAATATTTTGATATATTAAATTAATTGTATTTTAATAACTTTTTTATTGCTTATCAGTGGCATGCATTTGTCAATATTTTTTTTTATTAATATGTGAAAGATATTCGTTGTTATTTTGCTTTGTTTTCTAAGATAAACTAATATAAAGTTGGTGTAGGATTTTCTTATATGTGTGTGTATATATATGGGCTCGAACATCTTTAGTTGCCAAATGTACGTAGAGGATAAAATAACCATATCAACATTTACTCATGTTTCTATTTTATTTTAAATAGGTTTTCTACACCCATCACATACACATGCTAAACTTAGAAGAAAAATAATGAAATTAATATTAAGACGCGAGACTTTAATTAGTGTAGGTGAAGGAGTGAGGATAATATGCGGGAAAAAAGAAAAGAAAATATATTTTTCTTTTTTTTCTACTATTATTCTAAATAAAAAGATATCTCGAATTGTCATTTTTTAATATATATAATTAAATATTCTCTCAATCGTTATAAGGTTATGGAACGACAAGGGATCTTACTGTGGACCGAGGTTCAAATCAACCAAGCCCAAGTCAATTGAGACCCACCAATGTTATATGGTTCCTATTTCCTATTGACTAAAAGAAAATGCAGACAAAACTATGATTAGAGCCCAAATAATTAATCAAAGGGGTGATAAGGGGTTAATTTTTGTATCCTCTTTTTAATTTGAGTTATTTTTCTAGTTTCTTGTTTTAAAAATTCCTTTCTGATAAGTGTAGATATTGTCATATTCAGTCCAAGAATTAAAATATGAAGTGTACATATAACTACCCCATCTAGCATGCAAGGTTATAAATAAAATTTTCTTTTTCACAAGTTATTGAAATCGAAGCCATGCAACCTTGCTCGATCCTTCTCTGTAACATAGCAAGAAATCTTCCCTTTCACATTGATTCAATTGCTAATGCTTATGACACATCAAGATATTTACACTCGAGCATGTTGGTTTTTATTTTCTGAAAACTCGGTAACCAACCGAATATTTTGTGGTCTTATCCATTCCATGACCTTAGAAAGTGAAATGTTGTTTTCAGTTTTTTTCACAATGCTTAGTAACTGTTTCTGCCCACTTTCCGCACGACCAAGAACGACCTTATGATGGGAAAAGTCTATTAAGGGTTGTGCAATTTGTTTTGGTTCCCTTAACCTTATTTCTCCGTCAGAACATACACCATCAATTGGGAGAGATAGAAGTTTAGAAGATCCTTAACTTTGTGTCCCTGCTATTGAAGAATCAGAGGAGTATAGGAATAAAAGTAATGGCTGGAGGTTAGTAATTGATATTTCTTTGCTTCCACTTATCTAATGATCTAGACATGTTTTGTCAATCTGTTAGCATGTTTAGGTCGTATTTATAAATTAATATTTAGTATTAGAGCACAGTTTTGTCTCTATCTTGCTTATAATTATCATTCTCTATTAGTTTGAATTTTGATTCTGGGCATTATGATTTAGAGCCTTTTAATTCGAACTAATAATGCAAATTGAATGGAAATTATGATTCCATTTTTTTTTGGACATTAAAACAATGTTTTTAGTGTGAAAATAATTATGAAAAAAATGTTGTTTTGCTTTCGGGTCTGTATCGGGTTAAACTGACCTAGCTGAATGTAGAATACAACTGCAACGCAAGTTTTCCTGTCGTAAGGCGCTCTTTTGTTTGTATGTGACGCGGTTCGAAACTTGCCATGTATCTTTATATATTACAATACAATGTATTTGTTTTTTCCCTCAGAATGGACCAACTCTATTGCCATTAAACCAACCATTATTTCTGTAACATATATGATTCTGAAAGCTCTATATTCTTTCCTTGTGACTGTTCAGCATGACATTATTAATTTTTATGCATAATTTATTTGATATTTATGCTAATATCTCCTTTTTGAAAGGAGAGAAAAATTAATGTTTGGTGATTAATATAATTTTAATAAATTGGAGAGTAGCCACAACACCTTTAATTAATTAAAATTATATGTATAGTTTTAAGTCACATTGAAAAACATTAATTGTAATTAATTATATGTGATGTGATAAAATCTACCCATAAGAATTTTATTGCATTTGTATGATTAATTAGGATGAAATATTATATTATATTTCTTAATCTACCCACAAGAATTAGGAAAAGGAACATAATTTGATAGTTTTATCATAAAGATATATAATAAGTCTGATTGAATAGGACTTTAGCCCACAGGCAAGTTTTTATGTCACTAGATTCATGAATTAAAGCATGTTTGCATTAGTAAAACATGATATTTATTTTATCCTCAATTATGATGATAAGCATGTGATATTTTGAATTTGCAGTTTCTCAATCTGTGAATATTTTTTATATTAAATGTGGTATTCTCGAGTTAAATGGTGACAATTACAAGATCTAGAAGGAGAGAATTCTTCTTCATTTGGGCTGGATGGACATTGATTATGCTATTAAGAAAGATGAACCATCAGCTATTACTAAGACCAGCACTCTAGATGCAGTTGATCTTTATGAAAAGTGGGATAGGTCCAATCGTCTTTTCGTGGCTTTCATAAAGACTAACATTTCTGCTGGTATTTGGGGTTCTATTGATCAGCATGATAAAGTCAAAGATTTATTGAAGGCTATTGATGAGCAATTTACTATTTCTGATAAATCTCTTGTCAGCACCCTTATAATGCAATTTTCATCCATGAAGCTCACTGGGATTAGAGGAGTACGCGATCACATCATGCGCATAAGGGATATAGTGGCTCAACTGAAAGCCTTGGAGGTTACCATGTCAGATTCCTTCTTGGTACGCTACATTTTTTGCACCTTGTCTCATGAATATGCCCCCTTTATGATCTCTTATATCACACATAAGGAAAAGTGGTCTGTTAATGAACTATTGACCATGTGTGCTCAAGAAGAGGAAAGGTTATTGATGGAAGAAGGGGAGAGGGTGAACTTGACTACTTCTATGAAGAGTAAAAAGAATTAGGTTAATCACAAGGGAAAGATTCATGTTCAGCCGGACATAAAAAAAGAGTCAAAGTGTTTCTTTTGTAAAAAAAAAAAAGACACATGAAGAAAGACTGTCTGAAATTCAAGACTTGGCTGGACAAGAAGGGTAATCCATTTGCTTTTGTTTATTATGAATCTAATATGGTTGATATTAATCATGACACATGGTGAATTGATTATGGTTCTACAATCCATGTTTGTAATACCTTGCAGGTTATGCAACCCAAGGAGGCCAGTGGGAAGTGAGCGATGCATCTACTCAGGGAGTAGGATGAGTTCACATGTGGAGGCCGTTGGGACGTGCAGTTTAACTTTAAGTAGTGGCTTTGTTTTGAATTTGGAAAAGACATTTTATGTTCCTGGTTTTTCTAAGAATTTGATTTCAATTTTGAGACTTGCACCTTTGGGTTTTTTCTTTAATTTTTCAAATAATGGTTTTACTTTATTGAATAAATATGAAATTGTTGGTTTTGGGGAACTATGTGATGATCTTTTTTCTATTACTTTGCAAAATGATGCCATTTATAATTCTATGCACGTTACTACTGGGGTAAAACGATGTGTTGTTAATGAGAAATCCTCTATGTTGTGGCATCGAAGATTGGGACAGTTCTCCATTGAGAGAATTAAGCGATTAATAAATGAAGGAGTACTTAGTACTTTAGACTTTACTGATTTTGAGACTTGTGTGAATTGCATTAAGGGTAAGCAAACTAACAAGTCTAAAACTGGTGCCAAGAGGAGTTCAAACCTGTTAGAGATCATTCATACAGATATTTGTTGTTCAGACATGGACGCAAGTAGTCTGAGATATTTTATCACCTTCATAGACGATTACTCATCTACTTACTTCGTTCTAAGGATGAAGCTTTGGATGCCTTTAAAGTTTTTAAGGCTGAAGTAAAGCTGCAATGTGAAAAGAAAATTAAGGTTGTGAGATCAGATAGAGGTGGAGAATACTATGATAGATACACAGAGAATGGACAAGCACCTGGTTTATTTGCGAAATTCCTTCAAGAACATGGGATTGTTACACAGTACACTATGCCTGGTTCTCCAGATCAGAATGGTGTGGCAGAACGAAGGAATCTAACCTTAATAGACATGGTGAGGAGTATGAGGAGCAATGCAAAACTCCCTCAATTCTTGTGGAGTGAAGCACTTAAGACGGTTGTGTATATATTAAACAAGGTTCCAACTAAGGTTGTTTTAAAGACACCTTTTGAATTATTCAAAGGCTAGAAACCTAATTTGCGACATATACGCGTTTGAAGATGTTCGTCTGAAGTGAGAATTTATAACCCACAAGAGAAGAAACTTGACACTAGGACTGTGAGTGGGTATTTCATTGGATATGTTGAAAAGTCCAGAGGGTATAGGTTCTATTGTCCATCTCGTATTACTAGAATTGTGAAATCAAGAAATGCAAAGTTTCTTGAAAATGATTTGATTAGTGGGAGTGACCTAATTCAAGACACTACTCTTGAAGCAGATCATTATAAAGCTAAACCCTCTGAATCAAATGATAGACTAATAGTCATTCATGCTCTTCCAGTTGAGGAGCGTATTAGACAACTAGTTATGCAGGTTCCATAAGTTGTTGAATATGATTTGGTAGACCAAGTTGTTGACAAGGAGCCACAGGTAAATGTTGATCAACCTATTGAGGAAGTGGTTGAATAACAAGTTCCTCATCAAGATAATGAGACAACATTAAGAAGATCTACTAGAGTTAAGAGGTCAACAATTTCTAGTG